GTTTAATGAGGCTGCATGAGTGCAATTAAATTCATAAATTCATGTGGAGATTAATGTTTTAAATATAAAATTTTGAATACAGAAATATGATTCAAATAACTGAAATTATACGTTAAAAATGAAATTAAATCACCAGCAGGTGGTGTCAAGTCACTGATTTTATCACTGAATCATTCATTCAATTGATTCGTTCGAACGGCTGAATCATTCAGGAATGAAGCAAGTGACTGTCTTTATGAACTGACGGAAATCCGTCGTAGCGACGGAACTTTAATCCTTGATTTGAGAGATAGGTGGCGGTAATGCACTTATAAGTCTGCGATCCTCCGAAAAGCAAGAAGAAGACGACACGTCACTTGCCGGCTGTCGAGGACAGTTCAGACTTTGCAGTGCATCAGAGGTAAAAAACAATATAAATACTGTTCAGTTTCTTGCACAGACCGATCGTTTTGTGTCTTTACACATCAATGTATCGTCACAAACCGCAGGGTTTCATTTGGTTTTGTTTGTGTATGTTTTTTTTTACTCTCAAAGCCGTGATTCCCATTCACTTCCATTATAAGACTGACAGACTGCAACGGTTTGAGTTAAAAATCTTCGTTTGTGTTCTACTGAACAAACAAAGTCACCTACATCTTAGATGCCCTGGGGGTAAGCAGATAAACATCAAATTTTCATTTTTGGGTGAACTATTCTTTTAATGTCTGGAAACAATAAAAAGTATCTAAAGAGAAAAATGACCTCAGCATTGGACCAAATATATGTAGTAGTCATCTTTATACTTACCTGCAATACCTATTTGAATGATAAAAGATGAGTAAACAAAATCCGTCTTAAAGCTTGAGACTAAATATACTGGCTTTAGGCTTACCTTTCCCCTCTTGTTTTAGAATGAATGTAGGCCTATCCTGTTTTTTCTTCGTCCTATCAGCAGTTCTTGTTAATTTTTTTAGTATTGAAATTGTCATGTTAACCATACAGTTTAAATAAATACATACATGCATACAATACTGTCTTTTATAGGTGTGCCAGGTGGGTGCAGAATCTCAGGAATGCATCTTTGATGGGGATAAGCTTTCAGCGGCTCCATCACAACTATAGGGTGTGCAGTGCACATTTTCACACTAGCCAGTTTAAGAGACCATCTAATGTGTATGTATATACTGAAAAAATTGAAATTGCCTTCAGAAAAATCATAAAGATGCTTAATATTTGGGGACAATAAACTTTTGACGGGTATTGTATCTGTCTTTCTCATTGTACCTTGTAGCCATGCAGGATTGAAATGGGATGCAGTGCCCACAATGGTTAATGCTCCTACCCCACCACCCCCATTGGACTTGGTGTTAAAGAGAAAGCCACCAAAGACGCGTCAGGAGTTACCACCAAAGAGACGTAAGATAAATACAGGGATTCTTTGAGATGCCAGTCAAATTTTAGAGTGAAAGCTCAGTCGCTCTAGATTTCTTTTAGAGTGAAAGTTATTTCCCTTAACCAGGAAATTAACGTTCTTAGAATTGACAGACAGTTGACCCTGAGAGGTCAAGTAAATATCTACAACGGATCTAAATATTTATAATTAATTATAACTAGTTATGATTAATTATTCATATTTCCCCATGAGCTGATTCGCTACAGTGTACATCACATTATCCATTTTAGAGTGGCAGTGTTATGTGAAAGTAATGAAAGGTGTTTTGCTGCAATGTGATTTTAGTTAATAATTTTCCAAATTTGTGTTTGTTTTACAGGTAAAAAAAGTAATATTGTTTACCTGCCAAATACAGGCTCATCCACTGCAGACAGTGTTCAACAACCCACTGGCTCAGAGACCGATATTACCTCTCCTGATGCTTCTGTAGCAAGACCTTCGATGTCACTGACTCCACTGTTGCCCCCAATGTCATTGCCAACAGGCCTTGAAGCTGCTGCCAGGGAACATGCCCTGAAGATGAAGATTAGGAGTCTGAAGGTACAGGTGTGCAAACTGAAGGCGGAAGTGAACAGGCTGAAGAAGACCAGGAAGGCCTGTGTTAATAAGGAGTCAGTGATGAAGCAGTTGAAGAAACTCTTACCAGCTAAAGCATATGCTTTTGTGAGTACACAGATACATATGTTTCAGCGGAAGGCTGATGGTTTTCGGTGGACCACTCAGGACAAAGCTTTCTTCTTGTCTCTGCTACATGCCAGTCCAAAGTGTTACAGGCTGCTGTTTAAAGCGTTTTCTATGCCATCTGTCTGCACACTGCAGAAGCTTATGAAGTCTATCGATATTGAGAAGACTATTGGCGAACACAGCTATGCTAGAGTGACTACTGACTGTAGAGTAGATGAAACAAGCACCGTATATGCAGATCCACCAGTCACTGCTAATGCGGAAGCCAAAGCTGAACAGGTGGAGCAGCCAATAGACTATACACTTGACCACCAGTTTGATTCCCACCAAATATCTTCTTTTGGTTCTGGAGATCATGGTAAGTGTTCTTTGGTTTTTCTGAATTTTTAGAAAATTCTATGTATTTACACTACAATAACTTGTTGAGCTGATGGACTGCTTTGTGGTCATCCACTCGACTTGTGAGTCAGATAGGTCAAGGAGAGTACTCAGCCAGGACCAGCTATTTTCAAGAACAAAAGAGGTCTAGGCAACTCAGAATCAGAATTGGTTTATTGTCATGTATATGCATTAACACAAGGAATTTCACTCTGGTTAACAGACTAGTAAATATATACAGACATGCCAAAAGCAAAAACAAACTGTAAAATGAGGTAAGTGAAATAGGCCGAAGAAGACCAGGAATGCCAGTGTTAAAGGGGCCATGAACTGAGAAACCAAAATTCCCTTGATCTTTTGACATATAAGAGGTCATTGTACTATAAAACATACAGAATTGTACTATAAAACATAAGTTTCAGAACTCAAAACTTTTTCATTAGTCTAAAAACAGCTTATACTGAAGGCAGTCTGCCAAAACGGCAGCTTTTGGTATGTTTACTCTATGATGTAATAGAGTGGATAAGCACCGCCTTCACAGAAGATCAACGCCTGCTTCTACATCACTGCCTGTTTAGCCCCGCCCACTGATTCACGCTTGTAGTGTAAATAATTAGAAATAGAGGTAAATGCGCAGGTTTACGCAGAAACCAAGCTGTAAAGATGGCTTTGAAGACAACAAGATGTTGTGCAGTGGCAAGTTGTGGAAAAACAGTGTTTGCATTGCCTTCCTTCTGATCCCAACGTTAGGAAAGCGTGAATTAACTTTATTTTTAATGAAGATCCAGACCATGTCTGTAAAAACTTGGTCCTTTGTTCACTTAATTTTGCTGCTGATTTATTTATAAACAAGGCACAATTCGACGCAGGATTTTCAAAAAGAAAAAAGACTTGGATCAGACAGTAATGTCACAAGTGCGAGTAACTGTTTTCATTACGTGGTCACTATTGCTTTGTCTCTTCTTACGGATTGTTTTATATGTATTGAGTTATTTATGCATGTATTATTTTTAGATTTATTTTTTGCATTTTCGCCTTTATTACGACAGGACAGATCAGAACTGACAGGAAGCGAAGTAGGAGAGAGATAGGGGGCGGGATCGGGAAAGGAATTTATGCGTTTTTGACCTAAATCACAGCAGCACCCATCTATGAGCAATGTACGTTTACAGTGGGCGTTTACTTCTGAGTTTACAATCCGCCACGCCTATTCAAACAGAGCGTTCTAATGAGGGGGGTTAAAAACAGGACAGAAAATAGCCTATTACTTCAAAATTGTGATGTTTTTTTATGTAAAATATTGATAACATTATGTGGACCTCAGAGAATGGCACAAAATAAAAAAAGGCAGTTCATGACCCCTTTAATAAGGTGTCAGTGATAACTAAAATATACAGAGAGGGAAAAAATTAAAGGAGCACCTGATTAAAAGAGTGGAGAAATATATCCGATGCAAACATCTGTAAATAAGCCTGCACTTAATCTTAATATTGTCATAATACGTCTACTTTTATTTGTGACATATATATCATTAGGTAAACCTTATGATTAATATTTGTATGTATTTTGTTTTTCTAGAACAGTGATGCTGTGCTGGAGTCTGTTGTGAGGGTGTTCTACCAAAACATGTCCTGGACCGGCTGAGTGATATGAGATGAGGCCACCAAGTTCAGCAGCATTTGCCTTTGACCATGATGGAAGTGTACTGGTTTACCTAGCTGGGTATATGGCCAGTAAGGTTATGGGGAAATTCGCAGTCAGTGAAGATGGTCCCTGCAAGGAGTGTAAAATCTTAACCACAGATATCCCTGCCTATTCACAGTACGCATTCCTCAAGGACAAACAGTACACTGACCTCAATTTAGGAGAGAAGAGCCTTAAAGTGCCCAGCATGGCACTGGTGGATTTAGTCATAGCTCTGGAGTCTAACTTCCAAAGAAAAAAAAATAAAAATAAAGATCAGCTCAGTTATCCACACAGTTGGGCTGGGTGGGAAGCTATTTACCAGTAGGATGGTGATTGTGAGTGAGGGCAGGGGAGTAGTGTGTGACACGGAGAAGTGCAAAAAGTCATTCACCTACATGGTTAGACTCTTTATACGGATCAGAATCCATCACATCTTACGCACCCAAAATTGGCAAATCTCACAGCCAAATTAGGCTCATCTGTAAATTTTATGACACCTACAGTAAATGTTGTATTGTCTTGTATATGTTTTATGTTATCAGTTGTGGAATCCAACCATTAAGTACACATTTAAGGTAGGTTTAGCCTACTTTGAGTATTTCCCTTTTATGCAACTTTACACTTTTAATATTACTATTACTCCACTAGGTATGAAATATATATTGTACGTTTTAATCCCCGGGAACACTGCAAACATGATGATCTTGTAGAACACGATGCATTGCTGTGTCTGTAATAATTGAATAATTAATTTGAGACTGGCTGTAAAAAAAGTTGTTTTTTTGTTTACAGTCTTTCTTTAACAACTTTCAACCAGCATAACAAAAAATGTTTCTGAAGACAATCACCTATTGCACCTTTAATATAAGACAATACTGCAAAAACAGTTTACTGTCAAGCTTTTATAATCCTGTTATTTATTGTCCAACATTCCCAGTTTTTCTGACGCATTGCCTTAATTTAATTTCATATGTTGGTATTAGTGTTATTATATTATAGTGTTATTAGTGTTATAATAGTGGTATTAATATTCAGTGTTTATAATGCTGATACTTGAACTTAAAAGAATTTAAACTGAAACTGACATGGTTTCTAGAGAGCAAAGGGTTTGTGGAAAAAAATGGAAGACTTAAACACAAAGTCTGTAAAATAAACTGTTAAACGGATTTGATGATCACTAGTCTAGTGATTGTACGTTATTCTGTGTTGTCATCATTCAGGTTGGATTTCAGCTTAATGTCCTTTTTGTTTTGTTTTTTTACAAAGCAGCTGATATTGCCACAACAAGAAGCTAGTGGACTGGATGGAAGCATAGGGCTGCTGCTGGGCGCTACTGTTGCAATGGAACAGCCTATTGGCTTTCACTTTTTGTCAATATAAGTTCTTAAATAATATTTAGACAAATTATGACTGATGGAACCCCTTCACTACTTATAGAACGTCAAAGGGGGTAAACATGAAACAAGCCCTTCAAACATCAACTGGCAAAATATCTACTATAACAAATATTTGGATTTTACATGTTACTTGCAATATATAAAGTTAGAAGTCTAATTACTTCATATGGGCAACAAACAATAAAGATGCTTTTTTTAGCCCCAGGCACTGTATACAGGTATAAACTCCAGACACAGCAATAATTACTGCAAAACTCCTAAAATACCACAAAAGTGATAGCTCAATATATTAGCCAGAGCAATGAATTGACATCATTGCCTACAAAAGACTCTCCTGCCTCATGGAAGTTTATGGGTTATGACATAACCTTGGCCTCACTTCATGAATAACCTACTGCATGCTGTCATAATCAGGTTTTAATGGCAATCTTACTGCATGCAGGAAGACCCTTAACCTGATCCCAAAAAATAAATAAAGTTACAGACTGGGTGTGAGAAAGACTACGTGACCTCTTAAAGAGATTAGGTTCTGTACACTTTAAAATCCTTTAATTGGGAAAACGCTTAGACACGTGTGGATCAGATACACATACTAATGCTTGACAAGCACTTTGATTTACAGTAATGTACAGAACTCTAGGCCTGTCTTTTCAATCTTAAATCGCAACGCACACACAACAATATATCCTTTATTGCAGTCAGTTATGTAGGGATTATGCATTTGAAACTACAATGCCAAGACAATAATTTTTACCACAAAAGATGGTTTAACCAATGTGACTAAGACTGTTTGGTGGAAAAGGCTTTGTAAATCAATCAACTCTCATATGCATTATTACCCTAACAATCTCACAGTTCAGCAAGACTGCAACTACTGCAGTGAATGTTTACATCTCAGTCCGTTACGCAACTCTAAGCTGCACGTGTCAGGCTTACCTTCTTCAGAGGATCCGCACATCGTGCCTTTGCCAAGCCCCTTTCCCAACACCCTATAAAGAGCTAAACTATTCCTGCATGCTATTTCTGCAGTGGCTGTGTCTGAAGAAAGAAGTGGATGTTGGGGGCTCTAGAAATAACAGGTAGCCCTAAACATGCAAAAGATCAAGTCCCTTTTCTGTTGCGCTACACCTCCAAAACCGAATTCTTGTCCTACGTGCTGCTCTACCTGGTGAAGATGCCTTTCCCGCCTGTAACAAGACCACGGAGTCTTCCCAGCTCAGGCAAAGAGAAACTTTCAGGACCATCACCTGTCATTCTGGTCAAGACCGCGGAAGAGAAAAGTTGAGCAAGAAGGCCACGCCACACAAAAGTAAGCTACCTACCAGTCGAGCCCCTTCTGGCTTGAGGATGGAGGGTAAAAGCACTTGGATTACGACTCCAAGACCCCCTGATCCTTTAGGTTCCTCGACCCCAACTTCTTCTAAAAGTACTTCTGGCAATAGTACCTCTACAACCAATTTGGCAACAACCTCCTCAGTGAAATCCTCTAGCAAGAAGATGTTTCCTGTCAGCGTTTCAGCAACAAACATTCCAACAAACTCTTCTAGTCCACAGGCTTCATCAGGATCAGGCCATGGACTGAATAGTGAATCTAACTTCTCTCTCAACTTGACTCCTGAGGCCACCTTGCTCCTGCAGAAACGTAGCCGTGAGAAGCAGCTCCGTGCCGTCCGTGGCACCATAACAGCACCACACCAGAAAGACCGTTTGCCTGCCAAGCCAGGTTCTCGATCCAACATCCCACTTGTGAAGATCTCTCTTCTAAACGAGCATCACCGATACGATGACGTGGAATATGAGAAAGATGAACAAAGTGTGGATCAGAGCGTTCTGCTGAAATGTTCTGAATGGTTGCGAGGGGTGGAGAATGCTGCTGGAGCTACAGTCTTGGGTAGAGTGGACAAAATCAGCCAGAAGAGCATTTAACAGATCAGATGCTCCGTGTCCTGTTACTTGTGCTGACTTGAGAAAGGTGGTAGTTTTGAGTAGTGGTCAACTGATATGGGTCCTGCAATGGCTGATGTCAATCCCAGCAACTGAAGAGCTGGGTGCCTTATGGCTGATTATTACTTAGTTTAATGGCAGAAAATGGGATGTACATATAATTGCAACACCTATTTTAAACAAATTTGAACATCCAATGTTTACATTTCACAATGACAGTGAAAACAATTGGTTGTCAAGGCTCCTGGTATATTTTAGACCTGACTTATAGAAAAATAAATGTCCTGTTAATGGACAGAATTATTGGCTGATGCAGCATAATATGGCACCAACAAAGCCAAGGTCATAGGTTTGATTCCCAGCGAATGCATGAATTAAAAATAAAATGCATTGCTTGAATGCAATTTAAATCCCATTTGCCAAATGCATGATGTCATGAAGTCATTGGCCTGGCTAACATATCAGTCTATCACCATTCTTGTGGTATTTTAGGAGTTCTGGACAGATTCTGCGGTAACTATTTATAAGTGGACAACCATGACTAAATCAGTATTGGATTTTTCACATTTCGGCTATTGGTTCACAATGGAAGGAACATTCACAACTGTTTTGGGTATGATCTGACCTCTAAATTAAACATGTACGATTATCCAGAGTTTAAGTGAAATATGCAACCTTACAATGTTGCGTTTATAATTTTGAATTGTATTGCAAATATTCTCTTGGAAAGAGAGCACACTTTCAATTTTTATGGGGATTCATTGCTGTCTGTAAGAACACATCAAGTCTAAAAGCACACATGACTTTGCCGTGTTACTATAAGTGGCTTAAGGGACATGGTTTAGACAGACTTAGCAACTAACAACATCGCTCACTTGTAGCACTTCCTGATCTCATTAACAGAGAGATGCCTTCACTTTTAACCAAACAGCAAACATGGTGGAGGGCACGAGTGGTTATGTTTCTACAACTGCATCAATCCCAAGTAGACATGATAGGAAGTAGAGCTAAGAGTTACGCCAACATTTTCCCTGTTGCAAGTTGCTTTAGATAACATTTACTAAAATACAGTAAAAACAGTAATAGTTTGCAATATTATTACAATAAAAATCTTTTTTACACTATTTTAAAATGCAATTTATTCCTGTGATGGTACAATTCAATAAAATCTTACTGACCCTTGAATGGTAGTCTATGTTAGAATCAAATGTCAAAAGCATGACAACTGTTCAACTGTAAAAGTTACCGTTTAAATGCTACAACTATAATTTAATTAAAGAAATCATAAAATGTAACTTTTTGGCAAACACACTGACTTGATTATGACTTTGGGGGACATTTAAATAACATTTATGGATGTTATCAAGTGACAACAACAAGTAGTCACGTGATAACATCACAACATTTATTCTGTAGTTTATTTTCTCTGGCAAAGACTAGAAATGACTATCTGAAGCCAAATGGGCAGTTTTGCATGTATTTTACATAGATTACATAGAGTCCAATGAGCTAAACATCCCTCCCATTACAACACACGACGCAGAGAGATAATTTGATTAACAAAGTAGTTTGAATGCTGCATAACCTCAAAAATAGGTGTGTATCTCAATCTCCTTTGTGTAAACCAGAAATTTACAAAAGGGAAAAAAACTAAACACCCTCCTCTTAAGTTGAACAAAGCCTTCAAACTCAAGCTATTTGCTGGAGGACTCCTGACAATCCTTTCACTTCACTTCTAAGCTACTTAACTTAGCACGGTAGGCCAATTGTATATTTTATATACAATTATTTTATATTGAAATAAAATACCTACCTATAATTTACAGATAATTCAGCTTTGAGACTTGGACGTAATATTAAAACAAACATGATGGATGGTATTTCAGATGGATGAGCTAGATGAGACTCAGCTGAAGAATCATGTGGACAGTCTGAAGCAGCAGCTACAGTTTAACAGAGAGAAAACATCCGTCGCGATTCCAGAGTGAGTTTCAAACGTAAAAAGTCTACTTTAACAATTGTCATAAAATTGTCTAGAAATTAAAAAATAAATACATAAAAATAATAATTATCTCTCTTTTTTTTTTTTAAATGCACACTTCATTTTTTTTATTTGTATAGATAATATTCATATATAAATGCAAATCATTGCGTATAAAAATCTGAATACATCTGTTCTGAAAATATTAAAATAATATAAATATAGCATTTAAATACTTATTTTGATTTGTGAAGTTCCAAGCTTAGTGAAATAAATTAAGTAAATAATAAGTCTACAGATATTATTTGTGTGTGTGTTAAGTTCTATCCTCCTATTATACATTTATTTCCAGGTTAACTAAATGGATCGAGGAGAAAATTAACGAGGATCCATTTCTGAATCCAGATGTACTGAAGGACAACCCATGGGTGGAGTCAAGTAAATGTGTTATAATATAGTGCAAGAGCTGTCACTCATCACTATGGCAGCAGGAGTGACTCCACCCACAGTCGTGGTTACACTGCCCAACTTTGACTAGGACAGACAAACATGCAAATGTAAATCTGCGTTCTTATTTACGCTTATCATGCCACGACATTATGAAAAAAAGAAAAAAACTTGTTATTTAGTGAAAACGTATTTATAAAAGTATAAGACAACTATACAAGAACACAATAAAAAACAGAGGAACCAGTGCTTTTTCTTTTTCACATATTGTAGATTTTGTAGGTTTGTTTTTTAACTTTACAGTACAAGGTTCAGAACATTTTTGGTTTTTCATGTATTGATTTGAGGTGGTAAATTAACATGGGCTTCATCCACTTTCTCGCCCATATCACTTTAAAGTAACTCCCGAATGTAACCGTTTCTGCGCACTGCATTGGACACACCTTCATTGAAACGAAACCATACGTCACTGTTACCCACGGCTTTACCGATATGCACCACTCCAGCTCCTTTGCCATCTTCACCTGCAGAAAGTGAGATCAGTTCATTTTTAGCATTCAAGTTATGCAGAAGACTTGTACTGTGATTTATTGTACAAGAGTATGAAAAGCATCTATATATATATATATATA